CTAGCCAGCTAGCTAGCTAGCTAGCTAGCTAGCGACTCAGAGGTAGAGGGAAGAAGAGAAAACTATGCCCCGACGGAGCTGGCGAATGGCAGCCACGCACTTGGCCTCGAGGTCGGGATTGCCTATGGCCTTTGCTGCGCAGGCGAGCTGCCGCAGCAGCTCCTCGAGGCGGCGCATGCAGCGAATAATAGTGCCTTCGTAGAGGCTGCTGCTGCTGCTGAGAGCAGCAAAGGAGCGGCCGTTGGCCCAGCCGAAGGTGAGGCTGACGAGGGCGTGTTTGAAGTTGTTCACGTAGGCCTCCACGGCCTCGGCCTCGCGCTCCTGCTGCTGCTGCTGCTGCTGCTCCTGCTGCTGCTCCGACCGCAGCACGAAGCCGCCCTGCTGCTGCTGCTGCTGCGGATCCGAAGCAGCAAAGGATCCCCACACGTACCCGCACTCCACAAACACACGCGCTATCGAACGCGCTACCTCACGCACTTTCTGCACGCCTGCAGCAGCAACAGCAGCAGCAGCAGCAGCAGCAGCAGCAGCACGGCAGCAGCGAAGAGAGTCGGAAAGGCTGAAGAGCCACTAGGAAGCAAAACAGAGAATCTACGTCAACAGCAAAACCTCAACAGACACCAGAAACATGGCAGCAAACAACAAAGACCAAGACTCAAGAGCAAGCAACCGCCGCACTGTCACAGCTGCCGCTGCTGCTGCTGCTGCTGCTGCTGCTGCTGCTGCTGCTGCTGCTGGGGAGGCGTTACCTGCCAGGAGCCTGGGCTCTGTGGGCTCGGGCTCGTCGTGCTTCTCGTGGCAGACGAGGCAGCTGAGGACTGCGCAGAGCTCTTCAGGAGTCAAATCTTTGAGAGCATTTGAAAACAAAAGTTCAGAAGCAAGAAGTTCATCTGCTGTGGACACTTCGCAGGCCACGCGCCCCTTCAAAGTCACCACGTCTTCGCCCTCCAGAAAGCCCAGCCGGTGCAGCACGCGCCGCATGCTCCGCAGCGAGTCCTGCAGCAGCAGCAGCAGCAGCGCAGCAGCAGTGCAGCAGCAGCAGCAGCAGCGCAGCAGCAGCAGCAGCACGGCGGCAGCAGCACAGCAGCAGAGGGGAATGGAACTGGAAAAGGGGGAGAAACAGCAGCAGGTGAAAGGCAGGCAAAACTTGAGTGCGGATCTGTTATGGCCTAAAAGCTCCATTTGATGGAAAGAAAGTTTGAATTTTAATTTAAAATTTAAATTCTGAATTCTTTTATTTATTTTAAATTCATTTAAACGACTCTAGCGCCACACGGCATTCATCCAGTGCCGCTTTCCTGCTGCACTATGGCTGCCGATTTCAAAAGCTGAATTACTCAATTCTTGAATTTAAATGCTGAATTTAAATTCATTTCTTGAATGCTTTCAAACTAAAAAACCAAATTAATTAATTCTTGAATTTAAATGTTGAATTTAAGTGCCGGATTTAATGAATATCTTCAACGCCTTCAAACTGAAATATTGCATTTCTTAACTCTTGAGTCTAAATGACTAAACTGAATGCTTTCACATTCAAAAGCTGAATTACTTAATTCTGAACTTGGATAAATATTGCAAAAGCCTTGGAACTGGAGAGCTGAATTAATTGGATCCTGAATTAAGCAATTTTATTGAACATCTTCGGGATGGAAATCCGAATTATTTGAACTCCTAAAGACTTAAAAGCTGCAAAATTTGCTGCTGCACTGAAATCGTGAATAAATTCAATTCTTTGAATCTGAAAAACTGAATATTTCTGAATATTTAAAACCTCTTGGGACTGGAAAGCTGAATTATTTGGGTCTCGAGTCTGCATTGGATTCCTTAAGACTTAAAAGCTGCACAATTTGTCCTTTTCGCTTAAATAAAGAATATATTTAACTTTTTGCAGAATGATTCTTCAATTGTGGTGGAAAACTGAATAAATATTGAACTTCATGAAACTTAAAAGCTGCATAAAATGCCTGTTATGTGAAATTGTGAGCAAAAACTGAATCTCTTGGGACTTAAAAGCCTTCTAATTCGCCTTTTGCGTGAACTTGTGAGTGAAACTTGAATTCCTTGAGGCTTTAAACCTGTTTAATATGTTTTCTGCGTGAAATTGAGAATAAAACTTGAATTTCTCGAGACTTAAAAGCCTTCTAATTCACCTTTTGAGTGAAGTTACGAATAAACCTCGAACTTCCTAGACCTAAACGCTGTTTAATCTGTCTTTTGCGTGAAATTGAGGACAAACCTTGAACACTTTGGACTTAAAAGCTGCTAAATTTGTTATTTTCTCGGACTTCTTGAGACCTAAAGGCTGTTTAATCTGTCTTTTGCGTGAAATTGAGAACAAAACTTGAACACTTTGGACTTAAAAGCTGTTAAATTTCTTATTTTCGCGACAAGTCGAAGGACTTTTACCTTAATGGCGGTCTTTTTCTGCATTTCGAGCTCCGCCTGAATCTCCCGCAGTCTTGTCTGCATTTGCATGCGTTTGTGCTGCGCTGCGTAGTAAAGGGCGCAAAGCGGATGGCCATTGAAAGGGTTTTCTTTAAGAGCTGCTTCAGAAGCTGCCATCCGGCTCA